CTGGATTCAGATGAGGCTGTGGCATGTGGGATATCATTTCTGATGCCAGATGGCTCTTGGCTGAAAGCAGAGAGTACCAGAAAGGTGTTTACTTATGTTTTATTGATTATGCAAAGATGTTTGTGTGGATCATAACAAATTAGGGCTAACATTGAGGCAAATGGGAATCCAGAACACTTAATTGTGCTCATGTGAAAACTTACACATACACCAAGAAAAGCAGCTGTCCAAACAAAACAAGGATACATTGCATGGTTTAAAATCAGGAAAGGTGTAAATTAGGGTTGTGTTCTTTCATCATAGCTATACAATTTGTTTGCTGAGTAAATAATTTGAAAAGCTGGACTATATGAAGAAGAATGTGGCATCAGGATTGGAGGAACATTCAACAACCCGCATTATGCAGATGACACAACCTTGCTTGCCGAAAGAGAAAAAGACACATTGAAAGAGAAAAGCACACATTGAAGAAGATCAAAGACTACTGCATTCAATATGGATTCTATCTCAATATGAAGAAAACAAAAATCCTCCCCTCTGAACCAATAGGTGCATTAATAGATGGAGAAAAGATTGGAATTGTTAACAATTTCATTTCACTTGTATCCACAATCAACACTCTTGGTAGCAGCATTCAAGAAATCAAAGGATGTGTTGTATTGGGGAAATCTGCTGTCAAGGGTCTTCCTAAAGTTCTAAACTGTGAAGATGTCAGTTTAAAGACTTAAGCTGCAGTGAGAAGCTAGGAAGCCTGTGTGCTGTTGCTGTGCAGGGAGCACCAGAGGCTTCCTGGGCAGGTGGAAAGAAGGGCTGGCCAAAGTCCTGGGAAGCCTGTGCTAGCTCTCCTGCCTGGTGGGAGTCTCCCCACTGCTCACCCTGGCCGCCCTCACAGAAACACAGACAGAAACAGAAGATCAAGCAGGAAAGGATCCAGCTTTCCCCGAGCTGGACGCACTGTAGTACCCAAGGGGCAGCATCTAAAAAACCCAAACATGTCTCCCTCTGCCACACAAGGTTACATGATTAGCCCATGTCTGAAGCGTGAGCCAGCAGTGTGCAATGGAGCTGGCAGGCGCTGGGACGCTGAGCTGAGGATCACGTGCCAGAGGGGGCTGCCCCTCCCCAGGCCAGACAGGTGCTCAGGGTGGCTATTTCAGGCTGGGATGTGGGGGGGAGGGGGACAGACTTGGAACCAGGATGAGTGTCTGCACACATGTATACACACAAGTTCCCAGAGCTTCCCTCTGCTCTCACTGACCCCAGGCCTGTCTCCTGTACTGAGAAATCACTAGGATTCAGTCCTGAGCAGCTCACGCCCCCATCCCCCGCACTCTCCTTCTGGGGAGAGGCCATGCTGGCCCCACCCATTTCTCAGTGAGATGTTGCAGGAGCCTGGCCTGGAAAGCAGGTGAGGACAGCACACAGCACGTTGTGCTCATGTCCCACCACACCAGACTTCCACCCAGCGCACCCTGCCCTCAGCATGTCACAGTGGCGGTCCCTCCTTTCCTGACCCCTTTCTTCTGCCTTTTCTCAGCTTGTCCAGAAGGCACAATCTTTTCCTGATTCTCTATTGCTGCACCCTCCAGTTCCAGCCTTTCTCTCCTTTCAGCTTGAACTCTGAGCCTCTCTGTTTGTCTTTCTGTGTCTCCTTTGGCTTCCTCAGACCACTACTGTTCTCTCTCTTTCCATCTCTCTCATTTCATGACTTCCTTCCACAAAAATGTACTGACTTTTATAATGGACAATGCTCTGCGGGAGCCACACTGAGTTTGGGTTATAATAATATATACACTAGCAGCATGCCAATTCCAAGAATGTTTACTGTCTAGAAAAGAAAACTGAAATTTAGAAATAAGACTATGAAGCCATATGTGAGATTTGCCCTGTAAATGCTTCAAGGTGCTCCAGCAGTTAGTTGAAAGAAAGGCAAGATGGTTCTGGATAGGGGGTGAGGGAGCCTTCAAAGGGGAACAGCCTTGCTACTGTCCTGGGGGAGAGGCCTGCTGTGGTCCTGCAGAGATGGGGACAGGCCAGGGAGATGGCCGTGACAGTACAACTGGTCAAACTTCCTGAGGAAGTTCAGCTGAGGCAGATCTAGAAGGCTGGTGAATATCAGGTGAGAGAATAAGAAAACACTGGAGAGTGATCAGACCTTTTGGATAGAAGGATGTGCGCAAAGCTTATGATGATCCAGCCAGCATCAGGGGTTTGGAATAGGAATGGTGCACACCTGGGTGTGAGCACAGGCTGGAGGGAAGCCAGAAAATACAGGTGTGCAAGGTGTGGGTTAGCAAGCCATCAAGGCCTGGTGTCAAGACTTTGCTTATCCAGGTGGCTGGTGGCAGGCAGGGGAATTGACGGGGCAGAGCTGAGGACTGCCAAACTGGAATACTCTGATTAGGGGTCTTTCCCTCTGTTTCTTGGTGCCTTTGTTTTTCTCTGATTATTTGGGCTCCTCTTACCAAGCCCATTAAGGGGCCTTTTTCTACTGTCAGCTTCAACCTTGGGCAGACCAGATGCTTATGGTGACAGAAATTATGACAGAAATCAAAGTTTGTTTCTTCCTCACAGCAGAGAGATCCTGACTGCCAGGGCTCCCCAGGCTTTTTCGGGCTTCGTCTCTGAACCCAGCACCTCTGAGCCCATGCCCTCCTTTTCTGCAGTCCTCAGCCTTCAGTTCCCCTGCTTCCTCTACGTAACCTGCCACCCTTGGCCCACAGCCCGTAGGGGCCACCAGGGCTTCTGCTCTGCTTCTCAGCTCTCCCCACCACCCTGCGAGCCCCCAACTCCAGAGTGCAAGGAAGGGTTGGAGGGCCCAGGAGGGGAAATCCGGTGCCTCTCCAAGGACCTGATTATTTCCAAAGACTTGTGCTAATTTTCTGATATGATCCTCACATCTCTGTGAGGCACTAAATCCTCATTACTTTTCCTGACCGATGCATTCTAATTAGATCAACACTTAAAAAAAATTCACAATAGCCACAGGATGGCTTTCCATCTCATTAACTCCTCACTTATTATTTTCATGAAAATTACTGATAAAAATGTGCATCTCCATTTGGCGAGGCCTCACAGCCTCCTCAGCTCCTATCTTGCATCTCTCCCGTCACCGGGGCTGCGCTCCGTCGCCATGGAAACCCACAATAATAGAAACTAATAAATTACAAACGAGATGCTCGTTGAGCAATTATTGTCCTCTTTTATGCAAGTTTCTTGCTAATTTTGATCATAAGGGAAAGTACAATAAGACTCTGAAGGAATGAGTCTATTTCAAGAGAATATTAGCAAGCAGGAGCCTGGGCGGCTGTTTTTAGAGCTGCAATAAAGTGATTTGGTGATTTCAAGCTACAGAAGAGGAAATAAACTTCTTGCTCCACGTTCCAGGCAGAACTCCTCACGCCTTGTCCACTATTAAGTCCACAGAGATAGCACTGGGGGTGGGGGGGTTGATATACTCAAGTGTATCTTGCTTCTTTTTATTCTGACCCTCCACCACCATCACCTCTTTCCAAACTCAAGAACTAGGCGATGTGTGTTTATGGAAAGCAAAATAACAAACCCACCAACTAGTTGTCCTCAAGTCCACTCCTACCCATGGGGACCTGACGGCCGAGTAGAACTGTGCTGCACAGGGTTCTCAGTGGCTGATTTTGTTCAGAAGTGAGTCTCCTGCCCTGATTCCTAAAGCACCTCTGGGTAGGTTTTGACTGCCCACCCTGGGGCTAGAAGCTGAGCAAGTAACTGTTTGCACCACCCAGGGAGCTATAGATGATATCTGTTGGATTTGAGAAGACAGAAGGAAAAAAGGAGGACAGCCTTGCTCAGATTCTCTTCTCACTACCGCTTGTCATTGCTCTCACAAAGTTTACCAGGAGCCCTGCACACACCCAGTTGTCTCATGAGAAGAGGTGAACACAATAGTCTACTGTTACCCTCCTGGGGGGCCCTCCTCTCTGTGTCTCTGTCCTCCATGTGAAGTAACGCCTGGAACTCAGGGGAAAGTGGCAAAGTAGTGACACTATGGCTCATGTAGACCCTGGGCTCAAGGAGAAGAGGCATCTCCCGGAAGAAGCCTTAGTTTATCGGAAAAAGATTGTGCCAAGAAGAAATGAGCACACGCGAGGCTGGAACCCACAGAACCACTTCCGCAGCTCCCACTTCCCAGGATGAAGGTGGCATGTAAATCTTGAAAGGGGGTTACAGATGTGCAGGGGGGAAGCACAACTGGAAGAGGGCCAGGGGAAGTAGACCCAGCAGAGAGGCTGTCTCCATCAGCTCGGTGGGCAAGAGAGAGGGAATGGCCATTTCCCAAAGCCTCCTTCCCAGGAGTACAGAAAACTCAGCAAACCATGGTCATCTTGAGAAGGCCCTGACCCCTCTCCAGGAAAATTTCCCATCCAAACTCATATACCCACTGCTTAGCCTAACTTGGGCCAGAAAGTCACTGTGGGAATTTCAATAATCTCTTTGGATATTGTTCCTCTCAGATCTGGCCATCTTCTAGGGACCACTGATACCCTAGCATAGTAGAGTCTGGACCAAGCAGGGACTGTGCCTCCTAATTGAACAGGAGATGACTAGCGGAGGGAATGTGCAGTCAAAAGGCTCAGAGGCTAGTCCCTGTTCTGAGGTCATCAGGGGACCTCTAGACGTCCCTGACCACCTGGCCTAGAAGCCTGGCCTAGGAGATAGGGCCCAGCCCTGTGTGTTACCTGTGAGTGCAGGTTTATGGAGGGCTGGTTGGGGGAGTAGGGGCCCCCGAGGTCATTCCTGAGCAGGTTATCGCTGTGCATCTTGGTTTTGAGGCAGGTGATGTAACGGTTACAAAAGTCCTTGCAGAGTTCATTGACTTTCTCCAGCTCCAGCAGGTGGATTCTCAGCACCTGGATTGCCTTCACCATCTGGGGAGAGGAGGAGAGGTGAGCCCAAGTGGTCATGTCACACCCCCCTGAAGCCCCCAGTCACCACAGGACAGAGGAGGAGGCCCCTGCCCTGGCCTCCCTGGACCTGTACCACCCTTCTTCCATCTTTGGTTTGTGCTCCCTCACCATCATCCTTTGCATTCCCATGTGGCTCCCTGTCACTGCTCATTTGCTCTATGCCTGCTCATAGGGCAGCTGTTACTGAGGCGGGTGAGGTGCTCTGAACACTGCACTGGCCTTAGCCACAGATGGCCGGGCCTCCAGCCCAAGGCCTGCCATCCATTATATGTGTGACCTTGGGCAGGCTGCTTTGATTTTCTGCACCTTAGCATCTGACAAATGGGGATAATCATACCTTCCCTAACAACGTTACAGGTTTGCAGAGAAGATCGTATGAGGCAAAGTGTACAGTAGCACGTGGTGAGGTGTGAAGTACTGAGCTGGCAGAAGGCAACTTGAGATCAGAGTTTCTTGTAAGTGCCTCAAGAGGTCAGGGACTGCCTATTCCGAAATGCAAGTTCTAAGTGCGTCATGTGACACAAGCTACCTTGTGGATGCTCTATCAATACTTGTTGACTGACTGGATAATCCTGCATGACTTAGCTCAGAGCCGGGAGACTTAACTGTCTCCTGTGGCCTTTTCTGTACCCTCTGAATTGTTGTCACCTCTTCAAAAGGACACTCCTAATGCTTTTATGTCAAGATGTTAGTCTCAATGGAAGCTTTTCTCTTTCCTATTATAAAAAGAAAACAAGAGAAGGTATGGAAAATAGAAGATAAGGAAAAGCTGACCTTGATCTCATTATCCTGGAAAAAAGATTTCAGAGCCAGAGAGGCTCTATTCCACGTGCATGCATTTTAACATTATCTCAATTACTCTTTTTTTATTTGAGTGAAAGCTTACACATTGTACTGGTTTTCCATTTGTTCATAGACACGTCTGAAAAATTACAGTGTGTTTCAATCACCTTATGCATATAATTCTGTTTCCTGGGTTCCTCCCACCTTAGTTTATCAGATTGTTTTCTTGAGTTTAGAATGTGTACTTCCAGAAGGCAGAAATGATGTCTAATGTGCCCACCAGTGCAGCTCCGCCAGTATCAACAGAGGGCTTGGCACATGGGACATTTGGTCTTTGTTGTGTGATATCATGTAAATATTTTAAATTGTTCAATGTGTGCAACAACTTAGCCAGTATACTGTTGTGAGAATTTAGATGAAAACTCTAATTATTTAATTAAAAAATATGTTATAGTAACTATTTTTCATGTTTATAGATTTTCGTCATGTTTCTGCACTATTTCTCTAGGATGAATCCTGAGAAATGAGGGACAAAGCTATGAACATTCTTCTGGTTCATATAAAAAATAGGGTAAAATTGCTCTTCAAAAAGGGGTTGTTCATGAATAGAAATAACTCTATTATTATTATTATTCCCTGACCCTGTGACCACAAGAACCAGGTAGCCCCTGGTCACCACTGCTGACCACTCCAAAGGGCTCACAGGAGAAGGCCTCAGAGAGGTTGAATGGAAATGGTAAACCCCAAAAGTATCCACACTTGCTGGTCTCAAAGAGACTGGTGGAATTCCCAAGACTATGGGAGACCCTCAGCGAGATGGAATGACACAGTGGCTGGAGCAACAGGAACGTGTCAGGGCTGATAAGGATGACGCAAGATAGGGCAGGGCTCGGGTCCAGCTGTTCACAGGGTTGCTATGAGTCTTTTGCTATGGCTGACTTGACAGCATCTAAGAACAGCTTGGTCTTTTATGGAGCACTGGTAAGGAGCATTTAGTGGTAAGGAATTGAACTGCCAACCCAAATGGTGGGGCTCAAATCCAGCAGCTACTCTGTGGGAGAAAAATGGGCAATCCCTTCCCATGTAATTTGCTGCCTCTTCTGTTCTTTGGACATTGAACAAAACTCACGCCCATCGCTCAACTTTTAGCCAAACAAAAGATAGGTCTATAAGGTGAACAAAAACACCAGGAAGGCACTAACTTCCTAGAATAATCACAACAAAAGTAAGACCAAAAGGACAACATCTGCCCAGGGACAGAGCTCAGAGTCAAGAAGGGAAGAGGCAGAAGGGTTGCTGGAAATGACAGTCATGAGGATGGAGCAGAAGACCAGTTCCACTTTGAGTACTGTCATTAAGGTCACGTAACAAAATACATGTGAATGGTTGAATGGAAAACCAATTTACTTTGTAAACTTTTACTAAATAAAAATTTTTGAAGGGCTAAAGAAGAAAGAGTTGCTCAGATGAAACTAGAGCAACTGGACATTTTGGATATAAGCCAAAAAAGGAAGCTTAATCTAAACCTCATTCCTTCGGGAAAAAGTAACTCAAAATGGATAAAGGGACTAAATATGAGTGTAAAGACCTAAATGTAAAGCTTGCAACTATGATTTTTTTTTCAAACTAGAAGAAAATCTTCAGAACCTAAGTGTGAACAAAGAGGTGTTAAACTTGGAACCAAAAGTACAGTGTATACAAGGAAGACTTGGTGAATGGGACCCCATCAAAATGAAGAAGCATATGCTCTGACAGGAGCCCTGTGAAGGGGACGAAAGGCAAACTACAGACTGCGGAGTGTTTGTACACCACATACTGGACAAAGAATTTATGTCTAGAATATAAGGGTTCTCAAAAAAATAAAAAGCAAAATGGCAATCCAATTAGAACCCAGGAAAAAGACACGATCAGATAGTCCACATGGCAAACAAGCTCATGAAAAGATGTTCAATGTGATTGTTGTTGTTGTTGAGTACCATCGACTCAGAACTGACCCACAGCTGACCCTCCAGTGGGTTTTCAAAGGCTATTATTCTCATAGAAGGATACTGCCTATCCTTGTGTGGAGCAGCTGGTGGATTTACAGCACAAGCCAAGAAACATTTACAGTTTCTTACCACCATGCAGCCAGAGCTCCCTTTAACTATTCAGGAAATGCCAATAAAACCACAATGGGATATCACTACATAGCTATCAGAATTGCTAAAATAAAAAAAATACGATAATGCAAAATGCCAATAAGGAAATGGAACCTGGGTAACTTAAACATTACTAGTGGGAATGAATATACAATGGTAGAGGCACTCAGGAAGATAGCATAACAGTTTCTCGCAAAATTAAACATATGCTCACTATTCAACCTAGCAGTGGTGTCCTTGGGCATTAATTCCATAGCAATGAAAATGTATGTTCACACAAAAACTTGTGCATGAAGTATTCAGAGAAGTTTTATTAGTAATAGCCTCAGACTGGAAATGATCTAGACACAACTCAGTGGCTGGGTGGGTAAACATACTGTGGCACATCCATTCTAAGGAATATTACTTGGCAATACAAAAGAGTGAGCTAATGATCCATGCAATCACTTGGATGGGTCTCAAGGGAATTGAGGCGAGGGAAAGAGAGAGAGGAGGGTGAGAGAGAGCAAGAGAAAGACAGAGGAAAGTCAACCTAAAAGGACTGACACACTGTTTTACTGCATTCTTGAAATGACAACATTATAAAGATGAGGAGTAGACTAGTGGTTTTTGAGGCGTTAGGGAGAGGAGGAGGGAAGCAGAACTGTTCTGCATTTTAAATCAACAAATAGGATAAAATTGCACAGAAATACACACACACACACAAATGTAAAACTGGGGGAGCCTGAATAAAGGAGATAGGTTATATAATCGCAAATTTCCTAGCTGAGCGTGTACTATCTGCAATATGTCACCATGTTGCAAGAGAACGGGGGTGAGCACTGGGTAAAGGGATGGAATCCTAGTAGCACAGTAATTAAAGTTGTTGGCAGCTAACTGCAAGGTTGATAGCTCAACACACTCAGCTGCTCCACAGGAGAAAAATGTGGCAGCTTGCTTCTGTTAAGATTTCACACCTTGGAAACTTAGATGACAGGGCTCCTCAGTACTGCACGGTGGCTAGGAGTTGGAGTCAACTCAACTGTAGTCGATTTGGATAAAGAGAATCAGGATATTTTCCTATTCTTGCATTGTCATGTGAATGTATAATTCTATAACAAGTTTTAAGAAGGGATTGCTGTTTGATATCCACTTAACACTGACACAAATCATACATGGTGGTGGTTGCTGCTGGTAAGTGACATCTAGTTGAGCACGACTCATAGCGAGCCTAAGAAGAAGAGATCTGAATCTGCCTGATCTGTGCCTTCCTCATCATCTCTGATACTCTTGAGCCCATTCCTGCAGTCACTGTGTCAATCCACCAGGTTGGGGGTTTTCCTCTCATTCACCATCATGGCTCACCAGCTTTTGAGGTATAGGTTAGTGTTCAAACAGTATAAAAAGAGGTGGAAATGAGAAATAGAATTTCTCCTAGGGAATTTTGTCTATGAGGTGTGAGTTGAGCTGTTTGGCTGAAGGTCTGTGCCATATTCCTCTCTGAGAGGCACTAAAATTTCAGTGGGTGGACCAATGGTCCCAGGGCTATGTTCTAGTTTGTTTGATAGGCAGGGATGGTATCAAATTAATTAGGAGCTCTTGCATTGTTGAAGTAAATCAAGTGTCACTCAGTGTGTTTCAGAAGACAAAACCTAGTAACTCTGAGTCTTCACTCAGGGTGGTGTCACAGAGGCCTTCCGAGGACATGCCACCTCCCCGGGGCTGGGACTGACAGGGACTGGGCTGTTCCAGGCAAAGAGGTCCTCCTGGCAGCCCTGACATAGGTTATTTGGACTGAAACATGTAATTAGATATTTAATGAACATTTTCTCTTTGCTTAAGCTTTTTCCTTGACTTCTTTTTCTTCTTGTGTACTGTCCAATCGGACCTGACTGGCACAGGAGGAGATTGCTCCTCCTTCTCCAGTGGAGCATCTGGTGGATTTGAACCACATGCCTTTGAGATCCCCTTGACTTTTGCTGGAGGGATCCTGGCTTTGTCTGAGCAATCAGCATCATCAAAAAGATACTCCAGGAACAGTTGTCAATAGACTTAGAACAA